CGCCTTGCCTCTTTTTGAGGACTTATCAATGAGGAATGGGAATGGTATGCCTTCATCGAGGTCTTTGGCACAAATGTAAACACACAAAATGGTAAACAAGCACAAGTAGGAATTGCCATAAACATGTCTTTAAATAAACCAGATTTTCCTTAAAGATACTCCTAGAACATGCATATTTATCCTACTTCTCATGGCAAGGAAAGCGGTAAATAATGCAGAAACATTTACAAGTATCAGTGTAATACCAAACGAACAAGAGTTCGTAGCAAGCAAGCAAAAGCAGAATACTCTGGAAAACTTCACGCAAGCTAAAATCAACAACATAATAGTCATAACATATGTCGGTCAATCAAGCACAATGGGAATGCGTGTCAGACACATCCGCAATAAACAAAGCACCTGCACACAAATTCACATCCAGACAAAAACACAAACAACGCATATTTCTCATGAAATGAGAGTCAAAGTAAATCGCGTCAAAAGTGAATCCATAAATCAAATGCGTTTTAATCAAATAACCAACACTTTAGTTACATGATTGAAAGCTCTCACAAAGTACCTTGCACAAATCAACAAACACATTAGTGATAACAAGAAACCGCAATCGGAGTTTTGCATTCTCAACACAATTAAATTTATGATCAAATCATGAAGGAATAAAAATAAATGCATATTGGAAGCATAAACGCAAACTCCGGGCAGCATTATGTTACAAAAATGAGTGCATAAAATGTCGAAACAAAATTGCACGAAAACGGAATCGTAGCTTCCAAACTTACCAAGAAACTCACATAAGCAATCACCGTGAATTAAATCATTTCCTAAGTGCAACTTACTATTCTCAGGCAACAACACCATAAACATGTAAACCGTGCAAAATTTCGATCCGAAATCGAGAAAACTCAACACAAACGTCATCCAAGCATCAAAACCAAGTTCCATGAGCATTAACCATCAAATGAATTTCTCCTTATGCTCAACTTATCATGTCCAAGCAGCATTGCGCCTTAACCAAGGAGTGCTCGGAAAACCGTATTGGAAATGGTAAAACTCAACTGTAATGATCCACAAACGTACAAGCAAGCATGAATATGCATTACATAACAATTAAGAATCTATTTTCAAGGCACTTAGAATTTCCGGGCAGCAACACACACTTGAACCAGAATTAATCAAAATCAGATTTAAACATCATAAACAGATGCGCAAAAGCATCTACCGATTCAAGTATTGTCACGTGGAAATTATAAACACTTTGCAACAATTAAAATCTGCATAATTCAAGTAAAAAACAACACAATTCAAGTATTAATGCAACTTATCAGATTTGAAGTTTTAATGTCGAAAAATCAAGTTCCTCAACAAATTGATTTGAAAAGTTGCATTATCTCATGAATTAGAACTCAAATCTCATCAAAATTCCATAATCGATACATACATCCAAAATTAGGTGTTCAAAAATCAACATCAATTTATCAGATAAAAATCAAGATCTATATCGATTATGTAATTTCTCAACCAATTCTGGATTTCAAAATCATATCCAAAATCAAGAATCAAGTCATATCAACAAATCTCCACAATTCAATTCACATCAAAATTCACATTATGTCAACATGTATAATTCAAGAATTCAACATACATCATAATTCAACTCAATTCAATGTGATTATATCTCTCAAGCATTTACATAAACACCTAAACCTCAAGAATTTCAACTCATGCTTTAATTCAATTCAAGATTCAATCAAAGATAATTGAGAATTAAAAGTAATTGAATTACCAAAAATAATGAAGAGGAGGTTGAAGAAGAGGTTGGAGATCGGAAGTTTCCGGAAAACGGAGGTAGGTCGCCACGACTTTGATCAGACAACGGAGGATGTGAGATTGCACTATCGCTAGCGGTCGGTGAAATCGAACAGAGAGAGGAAGAAGGTTATCGCCAGCAGTCGACGAGAAGTTATGAGAGAAAACTTTATTTTTTGAATATATACTCTCTCCAATTGGGCCCTGAATTTGAATTTGGTTTCGGCCTTGTTTTGACAGTGTCAGTAAATTTAATGCACAACTCGATAAGAAAACACCACGTCATTATCGGTGCAAAATCTCGAATTGAGCTCAACATCAAAATCAAAGATTGTGAAATTTGTGACGCAATACCGAAAGAACAGACTCAATTGGATAAACGAAGTTAAATTTATGAATTTTCAAAGATGTACAAACGCATAGTAGAGTTAGCTAATGCAGATAATTCTCCGTTAATTTCACTGTTCAATTTGGAAAGAATGCCACAAATGAAAATCCTTCGGTCAGAATCCGAACTCAGGGACTGAAAAAATTTGTAGCTAACACCATTTGTGAAATTATGCCGAAAAAATCATCTCAATACAATAAAAATCGAAGAAGTTACAATTTTTACAATATCAGAAAATGGTGAATTAAAATTCTGGTTCAGCACAATAAATTTATCTGGTAATCCATAATTCTGGGGACTTTCCTCAAAGAATTAGCTCTCAATTCGAACATACGAAATGAATATGGCATCAAGACGAATTTTTTTCCCAACGAATGAATAAAAAACATTGAACTAGACGAAAGTTATGAATTTTTGAACGTCCGAAAAATAACAGTTCATCACAATATTTTCACTATTTTTTTCACTTCTTAGCTTCAAAGTACTCGCGCATTCGGAGATCTTCCTCAAAGAATTGGCTTCTGAGCCGAACTTGAAAATTGGAGGAAATAACAAGACAATTCAAATGCTTCAAGAGGCACTTAAAGGTAATTTTCCAGACAGAAGTTACGAATTTTTAAGCATCTGAAAACTGGTGAAACGGTAAATCCACTATATAATGCATTTCAGGTATTTTGCACTTTAGAAAATCTTCCTCACAAAATTAGCCTTCAAAATGAATAGATGGAATGAAGAAGACCTCAAGATGGTTCTAACGCCGAAATAATCAAACCCAAACCATTTTCTAATCTCAAATTGCAAATTTCTGAGCTTGAAACGCACCGTACTGAATTTTTGTCTGCACTGTCTAAAATCAAATGAAACGCTTAGTTTTTACACAATCCAGAGCGTGTTGGAATGCATAAGAGCTTGACATGATTAAGACTTGCTTAATCCCTGATTAGATAGCTTGGAACACGTGCGACATGTATTTGAGTCCTGAAAACCTTGAGTTTCTGCTTTGCTACTGCCTGACGGAACCCTTGAGCTTGAGATGACGAAATTCTAATTCATATTGTTCACTCTGTAGCGGTAAAAATCAGAGATCAAGCTATTTAATTAACTTGACTCGCAAAAGCAAGAGTTGCCACCACGCTTTATTATTTCCAAGGGAAAAGGAAAAAGTGCGAAATAAAACCCTTAAATATGCAAAGTAAGTGCAATACTAAAAGTAAAGAAAAATACAATGCGTTTGAAAAAGATCGAAGGTTCGGGGGTTGATTATAAAAAGGGAAGGTACTAGAACCCTATGTATCTATAGTATCCTATAGGAACCTTTTAAAATATTTTTTTTTGTTAAAATTAGTTTGCTTGCTAAATGAGTGTAGGGATGAGATTTTGAAAATGTGATGACCTAATGTCGAAGTTTCTATCAAGAGAGGTGTGAGTTTTAAAATTAGGGTTTTAGAAGAGATCTAATTTAAGATTAATAAAACTAAAAAAATGTATAATGGGGGTTTCGCACAATCGTATTATTCGATGACACGAAGTCAATGAATTTAACCATTTCTCTTGGAATAGACAAACAAAAATATAAAGACTAAATAATCAAAAAGAATTTAAATAAATAGAAATTAAATAACTAAATAATTAACAACCAAAAATTAATTAAAATAAAGAAAGACAAAATTATATATATATATATATATATATATATATATATATATATATATATATATATATATATATATATATATATATATATATATATATATATATATATATATATATATATATATATATATATATATATATATATATATATATATATATATATATATATATATATATGGTATTTTTTTAATGAGGGCAAGAAAGAAATAATTATAAACCTAATCTAATATTTTTATATTATACTTTTAAGAATTTTTGTGTGAAATAGGACTAAATAATCTTAAAGCTTAAAAAATGAGGGCCTGGGATCAAACTCAGGTTCCCTAGGTTGCAACCAGTCTGCCTCACCACTAAACCGTGTTCATTTTTCTGTTGTATATACACTTTAATTAAAATATAATAACAGAGTGTGGGTTAAAAGGGGATAAAATGCATAATAGTGGTAAAACTTCCACAATGGGTCTCAAACCCAGGACCTCACACATACAAGGCTCACGCTCCAACCACTGCACCATGTTGTTCAATCGTTATATGCATTTAATCGAAAACTATAAAATTAAAACTGACAAATGGGTTGGGCTAAAAATTCAAGCCCAAACCCGGATCCACTTTAAAGGGAATAAAGAGAGTTTTTGAAACCCTAATATGAAGATGAAAAGGCTCCGCGGATGTATAAATATATTTCCCTATTTTTTGTGATTTTCCAAATAAATCTCACTTAATGTTAATTAAACTCAAATAAATCCTAATTATAAACTTACACGTCTCTCTCTATCTTGATGTACCAATCGTGAAAACTTCCCATCCATTATACTCTCTCCATCAATTGATAACAACTTGATATTCCAATTCCCCTGGTTTCTCACTTCCTCTGTAAACCAACAACAATAGTTATTCTTCTCTCTCGATCGCTTCCTATCCTCTCCCCCTATTTCAATTGCTTAGGCTATAACACCAACAACCTTCTACTTTCGCTTCACGGTTTTGATTATGTTACAAAATTCACAGATTTAGAGGTAGATCAACAATAACAGTAGCGATTCATAGTTCAGATTCAATGATTCACAAACAATAACAACAATAGTTTCAGAATAACAAACAATAGTAGCAAAAGATGAGGGAAAGAGAGTGTTATCGGATCTGAGATCCCCTGATGAATTTTCTAAGGTACACAATCCTTTATTCTCCTTTGACTTTTGTTTCTGCAAGTCGGTATTGAGTGTGTTGTGTTGAGTTACTGATACAATGATGATATGATGATGTTGCTGCCTGATATTTTTATTGCAGGTGTAGAAGAAATAGAGGAATTTTGGGTGATGTTAAAGAGGGATTTAGCAAGCTGGAGATATTTTTCACTAGAGAGTTGAGGGTGAGTTTATGGTTGCTGCGAAAATTTGGAAGAGGTTGTGGTAGGAGTCTGTAGTGAGGTTTGAGGTGCAGGGTCTGGTTGTTGAAGTTTTGATGAAACAGTGGTTATCTGGTCGTGAGAAAGATGGAGGTACAGCCAGTGTTTTGAAGAGAAGATTTGTTTGGACAAAAGAGAGAGAGGAAAAGATTTTTGTGTATCATTTTCTCAGATAATTTTTTTTCATTTCTTTTCCTCTCATGTGGCTTGCTGAAATCCTATCAGGCGATAGGTATTGTGTATTCTCTTCATCTCCTTTAACCTTCTTTTCACTATTTTTATGTGAATCTGTAATTGTTGTTTCTGATGCTTGCAGTGATAATGTTAGCAAGATCTGATATAGTTTTTGCAGGTTGTAAAAGAAATAGAATCGTGGAAAGATTTAACATAAGTGAAGGTTTGTGGTTGCGATGTATTGTGCAGATTAACGGAAATAAGGTTGTGATGTTTGGAAGAAACAAGATTGGTGTTTGGGTGGTCGATGAAGTTGAAATAATGAGGAAGAGTTACCGCTAAAAAAATTCTGCATAGTCTTGTTATCTTAAGGATTTTTTTTTCTTCCTCCTTGGTATGATTTTTTTTTACTGTCTTATGGCCAAACCTAAGGGAGATTGGAGGGAGAAATTTGAACAAATATAATGGTATGTTTCATCTCCTTTTTGATGCAGTTTTTATTTGCTATTTTTGTGCAAGCTTTGGTGATGGTTTGGACTATTATGCTTGGAGAATTATACATATTTTTTGGCGGCAACAACAGTAGCAGGGTGGCAGTTTTGGCATGACTATGCAGGTTTTGTTGTGTTGTGTATTGTTGCAGATTTTTGGAATGGTTTAGAGCAGGGTTTTGGAGACATGTGGACAGCAATGGATAGAGGTTATTTTTTGGCTTTTATGCAGGAATGATCAACATCTTCGAGCAACATTTTTTTATAGCAAAAGTGTCATGAAACAAGGCTTAAGAGTAGTCAATTATCTGGCCTTAGGAGCTTTGTAGGTTTAGGATACACTTTCTTGTAATTCATAGTGAATAACAATGTAAACTTGAAACCTTAATCTTGAATGAGAATGGTCAACATAACTTAAGATCTTGAATGTTCTTGAATTTTCCTTGTGAATTTGATGACCTTGTATCTTGAAGTTTGTATCAAATTCTTGAATTGAATAAGAACTTTTCGTTAGAAATGAACTTTTGTGAACTTCACTTGAAGAATATTTGCAAACTTAAATGGAGTTGAAATCAAAGACCTTATTCAAATGAGTCCTCAAATCTTCTTCGCTAAGGCCCTAAATCACAATCTTAACTCAAAAATAACTTGCAATACAAGCCATTAGTACTTGAGTGAACAAATAATGTCTTAAGATCCTTGGTCAAAAATTCATCGTAATTTGATAATCATCAATACTCAAAAACAAGTGACTAGAAATAAGCGACAAACAATTTAAAGAATCCTTGAACTCATAATCTTGTGTCATGAACGAACTCATCATAAGAATCAATATCTTAAGAGAACAATTACGGCATGAATTGAAATTAGAAGTTAGGAACATTCTAAATAATAAAAAATGACCTATAAATGTTTCGATAGATTTCATGGATTTCCAAGCGCAATTCGACTTTGATCTTTGAAGCAATCTCATAGACAACACTATTTGTGATACCCCGCAAAGAGAATCGCCTCAGATCGTTGAAAAATGAGAAAGTTATGATCCTCAAAAGTTTGACAAGATATTTTTGGAATTAGGTCAAATTCACAAAAGGACCTCTAAAGTATTCGAATTTTCGATGATCCTCCGCACATAATCAACTCTTGACTTGTAAGTAGAAGTTGGAGATGATGCTGAGAATAGTCATACGCAAAAAGAACCACTCAAAAATATTGAATAATGAAGAAGTTACAATCGTTTGAACTTGATCTTGAAAATGTTGACTTTTGGTCGAAGTGCTTTGAATCGACTTGCAAATTTGATCTTTACTCGTATTCCCAGACATATTGATACACATATGGACCAATGATGATGAAGTCTTGACTGTACTTTTGGTTAATGGATAAACTTTGATGAAATAGTATTTTAGAATTGGTGATTCACCATACTTGAGCGCTTGAGGGATCCAAAACCCTAATTGAGGCGCAACACCTGATGCTCTTGATTCAGACATGTCTCTGCACATGAAACCAAAGAAACAAAACATACACCTTTGTATTTGATTAGATGTTAGTGATGCATAAGATAAGATGTTCGCAACACTTAATAATCTTTGCATAAGAAATGCTCGAAGGTGAGAGGGTTAAAAACCAATTGTATCTCGTGACCTTGATGATATATGAGAATGCAAATGAAGGTGGGATCTTAGGTCAAAAATTGGGATATGACACACTCTTGCCAAAATTTGAGATTTACTTGCTGAAGAAGAAATGGAAATAAACACATGAACCTATCTCAAAGAGTCTTGAGAACCAAGCAACCTAACTCACCTTAACCGTGCGGAAAGAAGCTTGAAGATACCGCGATCTCAATGCAATATGATGCTATGAGATGACAAAAAATCTTAGGGGCAAAAATTGGGGTATAACAGATGCTCATACACCTTCCACATAACCATTGCTCAACCACCATCAAATACTCTTCCAATGTCGTAAATAAATCACAAGCATTCCCAATCACATTCCGTATGACATTTTTCTGTTTGTTACTACATAGGTGTAACATCTTAAGATGAGACACCAAACGAGAAAATACATTTGCTCCCATCTCTACCATCAGGGAAACAATGGAATCCTCAAAATGGACAATGTAAACCTCCTATTTGAGTAGAAACCATTAGACAGTGCAAAATTGTGCTTCGCCTCTACTCAATACAAAATATGTCCAGTTGGGGAATTTTATCAAACACATGGCAGGCAGCAGCGAAATAGCATTTCGCCATGGTTGTCTTGTTGTCTAGCTCTACCTCATTGAACCATAAAGTCCAACTTCTAAAAGGTTCCTCTTAAAAACCAATGGAATGTTTTTACAAACAAATGGGAAAAGTGGTTTCGTTACCCGATTGTCTTCTATTTCTGTATTGACCTAAATATTCATTTGTTTTATTCATAACCGTCTATGTCATGTTGTTTATGCCTAATTTGTTTACATAATTAACATTGTTTTTAAGTATATTTAGTCAGTCGAATCTTAACAACTTGTTAGCTAAAGTTCTTATTCTGATGTGATTTTTGCAAACATCTTCATGTGCCTCTATTAACATCAAAGCAGTTTTTCTATCGCCCAAGCATCTAAGAGTTTGTGTAACTCTTGTCATCTTATATAGTTCATCTGAAATCAAAGTATATTTGCATTTAACTTGTTTTACCTTCTTCATTTCTTATTCAATAGGGAATGAACTACGGTTGTCATCCAACCCTATGCATCTACTACATCTACGACATTGATGACTTATGTCTCTATGTTAAGGGTGAGTAATGTCTCATATATCATTATTTTATTGTGACCCAACTCCTTGGTGTTAGCGTGTTTCGACAAGAGATTGATAATGTAGTTTTCTTCGTTGCTCACATAAGTTACTTCAAAGAAATTGAAATGTAGTAGATGACTTTACTAGTTGTGCATCTTAAGTCTGGTATTCATCGACAACTTGACTGATTGCAAGTTCAGAATCACTTCTAGCTCGAAGGTTGAATGCACGCAATTTCTTTACCAAATCCATTCTTGTAATTAAGGTTTCATATTATGCTTGGTTGTTACTAGCTAAGAATTTGAATCTTAGTGATTGTTCGATCAATGTATTGCTCGGGTCTTTTAGTACCACTATGGCGCACTCCATTTCAAATCAAATGCTCCATTCATTGACAAAATCCCTATGTGGGGAGTGTCTTCACCTGCAGGCGAGTTGAACTTTACCAAGAAATCAGCTAGGACTTGTGACTTTATACTGCCTATAAACTAGTATATTCTTCTTCTTTCCAGTCTAGCTTCTTTAGAGCTTGGCGAACTAGATAGTCAGTTTTGACCATAATTTTATGACCTTGAAAGTATAACCTTAGTTTCATCGTTGTTGTAACCACTGCCAAGGCCAACCTTTCTATTTTATGATACCTAAGTTCTGACTTTTTAAACACTCTACTTACGAAATTGAATGAACCAACACATCTTGATACTGTTAATCACCGACAAGTATAGGAATAAGGATACCAACTTCATTAGGTGAGTCACTATCAGGAGTGTTTCTAAGAAGTTTTTTAATTACATAAAGGCTTCTTCACATTCTTCAGTCTATTCAAATTTCTCTTTCCTTCATTGTGGAAAAAAGTGAAAAGCTTTATCGCACGTGCGTGATAGGAAATGAGAGAAAGAAACAATCCCCCATGTTAGTTGTTGAACTTCCTTGACTTTGATCATATTTTAATTTGATAATGGGCTAGTATTTATCTGGGTTGACCTCTATCCCCTTTATAGTCAACAAAAAGGCCATGATTTTTCCAGCTCGGACCCCGAATTTACATTTGGTCAGATTTAGGCACATGTTGTATTTTTTGACAGAGCTTAGTACATCCTCCAAGTTTTCAAAAAGTTTTCTCTAGTACGAAGGTTTTACTATCATGTCATTTATATAGACTTCTAGGTTGCATCCTATTTAATTTGCAGACACCCCGTCTATCACTCTTTGGTAGGTAGCACCAACGTTCTTAAGGCCAAAAGACATTACCTCAAAGTTGTATTTATAATTGTTGGCCATAAAAGTTTATTTAAGCGTGTCAAGGATTAATTTTGATTTGATTATAGCTCGAGTAAGTGTCGATGAAGGATATTTTGGGCACGCCTAATTAAGGTCGATAATGTTCACACATATTCTCCAATTGCATGAGGATTTCTTCACCATTACCATGTTAGATAACCGAGTGGGATATATGATTTCTCTTATGAATATCACCTATGTTAGCTTATTTACTTTTTCTTCTACAACTATTCTTCTCTTTTCGCCATCGTTTTTTTTTGTATAACTGGTTTGACGGTGACATTGAGGGCGAGACAATGACAAATATTATTAGTGTTTATTTTTTATATGTTTGAGGGGCTTTAGGAGAACATATCAACTTTCTTTTAGAGCAGGTTAATAAACTCATATTCTTTGTTTTTTGTTAGGGAGGTGCCTAACTTTGTTGTTTGAGAACTCTGAGGGACGATCTGAACTTCTTTCTGGTATTTTATGGGAACTAACCTATCTTTCAAGTATTCTTCTCTAGGGTCCCGATAAATGAAATTTACATTGTGAGAGTTGGGCTTTGGTGTCAGGAAAGTGACTAACACTGTCGTATTTATTCTAAGACTATATTGGTAACATTTCATGGCTACTCTAGGCTCCTTTTTATGAGACCTACATGCCCATTATATAGGGGATATTTCATAGTTAAGAAAATTGTGTATATGTATGCCTCCGTGATATTAAAATTAGTGCGACCAATGATTATGTTATATGATAAGGGATTGTCTACCATGAGATATCTGACTTTTATGTA